AGAAATGCTGGAAATTAGCGCTGACAAAAATGCCATTCTTTCGCACCCGTTTTTTGTGTGGAGGGGGGTGGAGGTGGGGGGAAAAGGGGGGAGGGAGTATCTTCAAACTGTGAAGTAGCTTTTGTGGGATAGACATTTGAGCAACAACCAAAACCCTTGTTGGCGAGTGGCCAATTCATTTGGTGGGACACAGGTACCCCCAGACATACACTACGAGTCGTCGAGGGAATCCGTTTGAACCCACTAAAAAGAGCTTTGAGCTGGGCTGATCAAGGGACACATTTCTTGGCGTGTCTTCTGTTTGGGGAGCCCCCAAATGGAATCCGTTCTCCTTTTGTTTTCCTTTTAAACGCAGACACACACACACACCACTGGGCACTTAGAGGCATCAGCAAGGCGCACTCCAAGGCCGCTGACACTCCACCCAAGGCTCAGGCGCATCCGACAGAATTCTACAGAAAGGAGACATTATCGCCTATCGCTATATCAAGAGCCAACCTCGGAAAACGGCGCCAAGAACATTAAAGGATTCGGGGGGGGGGGGGGGGCTCCCATCACTAGAACATCGAAAAGCTAGTCTAACAAGGGGATCAGTAGGTAAGGGATCGAAGGCTCCAGAGAAGACCCACACACACAGACCCCTCTGGACACTTAGAGGCATCTTAAGCAAGGCGCACTCCGCTCCACCCGAGGCACAGACCCAAAGCACATGGGGGGAAACCAGCTGCGGCCAGTGACAGGTGGAGCATGTGTCGCAGATGGAGCCCCACCTGAAGCTGCTGTCGCTGGTGGCTTCATCTTGGCAGCCCTTCGACCTCTACAGCAAAGTCACCACGGTGCTGGGCTCCAGCTGTCGCTTCCGCTGAAAATGCTGGGTGGGGTGGGGGGGGGGGTTTGGTGTCCATTGCCGAATGCTGTTTGGGGGGTTTGGTGTTCTTTGGTTGGTGGGGGTTTGGAGGGATTTCGCGAATGTTTTTTTTGGGGGGTTTGGTCCGGGACACTTTGTAAGGGGAGGCAGCCCTCGGCTACTGGAGGAGGAGCTGACATTCCGCTGGACCTTCGGGTCCCGTCATCTTGCTTTGTTGGGCAGGTAACTCCTTCCAATCGCTGAACATGGACATGATGGTCGTCTTCCAACCCCCCCATCCACTTTTCTGATTTTTGCAAGGATGATCGTGCGAAAGGAATTGTTGGGACTGCTTTGAGCAAGTGACACCTTTCGATTCCGAGTTTTATGGATTGGCGGAACCGAAAGTGGCGGTCAATCTTGACTTCACCCCAGGTTTGTTCAGCGGCCTGGCGTACTACTCCATCTACTACAACAAGGGAGACAACCATGAGGCTGGCATGGTTGGACATTCAGCAACAGGTGTGCCACTTTCTGTGACACCAGGGGAAGCCCCAACTAGTGGAAGGGAACTATCACAGAAAAGCATATTATTTTTCCACAACTATGAGCATGGTTGCGATAGAATTCGGATCTTCGTAAGCAGGGGGAGAACTGAACCTCCCAAAGTACATAGTTGCCGATTGGTTTCCCAAAAGCGAGGTATTCTCAAGAACCCTCCCGCTTCTTTTTTTGATAGCACGTGGCGTACAAAGACAGACACCTTAGGGACATAATTGCCCTCATGGTGGCTGAAAGGGGTCCCGGGTTTGAAACGTACGAACAGAGAAGCCTTCAAAATGCAACAAAGGGAAACCACCAGGTCCCCAAAGTAAAGATAGAGAAGTCCTCAAAATGCCGGCATCAGTTGGACTCAGTTGGATGGGCTCATCCTCCATATTGATGTAACCCATTTCGGTATCAGAGATTTCGGGCAATTCGGGTCAAATCGCACAAGCCCTTTGAGCTTGCAAGCAAGACTCCACTGTAGTAGGCCACCCAGGGAAACCCTGATGCAAAACCCTCATGTAAAAAATGCGCGGTGACCTCTCTTGCTGGTGCTCAGTCGGGAATGAGGGAATGAACCTGGGGTCCCCTTAAAGGAAACCACCAGTTGGATGGTTTATAGGGGTCATTCCCTCATTCCCTGCCTATCGCACCAGCAAGCTATAGGGGCTGGAGGCAGTGGGAAACAGCTCTTGAGCCTCGAGGCGACTCCGGAGGCTTGGTGCTGCTTTCTCTTCATGTCAACTCTGGCGTGGTGGAACCTCACCATTGAGCTGGCAGCTAACACGCTGGACCTCACCATCGCCCCTCGGACCTTACGCCGGAACCGAGAAGAGATGAGTTCTTGTTGTTGGTCCCCAATCAAGCTTCCAAGGTTTCAAATCGAGCTGTTGTTTTAGATGTAAGACGACACGTGATGTTAAGTTTTTTGCTGCCAGAGTCAACTTAGGAGGTTTGGAGCGGATCCGGATACCGCTGATTCCCGCTTTGCCGTCGCCCGCAAAACATGCCTTGGCTTGGACACCATTTTAGGGCTTCCCGAAAAAAAAAAAAAAAAAAAAAAAAAAAAAAAAAAAACTACTGCTTTGGTGCACGCACACACACGCACCCAAAAGAGAGGGAGCCTTTACAATTCGGTCCCAATGGGCGCAGTACCGAAAAAATACGACATGGCTTGGCGAATTGCGAGACATAAGCTTACCACGTCATCTTTTTGAACGCTTCTCTTGGCTTTCCTCCAGTTCAATAAAGGTTCACCTTTCGCAGGGGCGAATTCTCTGAGGGCCTCAGCTCATTGGTGTTCGCCTTTGTGGCTTTCGTTCCTTTCAATAAGTTCACTTTTGCAGGGGTCGAATTCTCTGAAGAGGGGTCTTTGTTGCATGTTGCTTCGATTTTAGGACTTCAACTTTTGTTTTTGCCAACTTATGGGGTTTCCATATTGAGCCACTCAAAGTTTTTGCACTTTTAGCAGGGGAGCAGAAATCCACCGAGGGGTCCTTCCCCCAAGAGTCTATGGCTTGATTCCCCATTCTCTTCCACAATCGTGCTTTTCAAAAACCAGATCCGTTTTCCCTGGGATTCTGGAGGTCTTCTAGAAAGATCCGGATCCCTTAGAAAGAATGGACTTAGACCCCTAGAAAGTTAGATGGAAAGAAGGACCCCTGGAAAAAGGTCTCAAGTCTTCGCTTTCTGGTGACCTTGACCCAGGCGGCGTTGCTGATCCTGGTGGGCCCGGTCTTGTGGCTGCTGTCCAACCGGCCCACGCTGACGGGGACCCTGCGCCTCGGCCTAGGCTTCGGCTCGGGTTTCAGGTCGCCATGGATCCCTATGAAAAATCCAACGGAGGTTCTATTTGGAGGCTGGGTACTCTCTTCCTTTTTTTCACACCTTTTTTGAGGCGCGGTATTCGCATCCCTGTGGATGGTTGCGAAATCCGTTTCGCACCACGACATGAATCCATGGTTGAAACCATGATTTGTTGGCATTTTACGGGGGGGGGGGAATCGTCCGAAACCAGGGTTTCTTGGGTGGTGCGAAATGGATTTCGTCCACCCACAGTAGTAGACTTGTTTTTGGTTTTTAGTTTAGGTTGCTTCGTACTCAGAGGATGTACTGGTTTCGAGATTTCGTCCTTCTTCGTTTTGAACTCGGACTTCTTTTTTTTGGCTTAGAGAGAGATTTAGGGCTCTTGCAACTGACCTTTGACCCGATACCTCATTTGTTTGGGGAAAAACCGTTTGAGCGCCCACGCTCAACAAGCAAGAACCATTGGCCAGTTCTACTGCCTGGTCTTCTGGTCTGTATAACCATCTTGGTAGAACCAAGAGTCAGCAGCTGGGGGTGTTCCCCTGCAAAAAGTGATGAATCCCCACTAAACCCAGGACAGCCCTCTACTTTGGTGCATTTTGCTTGGATGTTAGGACTTTAACTTTTTGCCAACGAATGGGTTTTCCGCAATAAACCACTAAAAGTTTAGAGGGAAAAACTTTTAGCAGGGGAGCAGAAAGCCAGCAAGTCTAGTTGATGCTCCAAAAAGTGATGAATCCCACCAAACCCCAGGTTGTCCGCACCCAATTGGCGGATGAATCCCATGGCTTTACCAGTCGCCGGGGACGCCCACTGCCCCACAGCCCCGCCGCCAGGATGCGGCACTTTGGGTATCCGCTGCTGGTGACCATCCAGGCGAGCTGGATCATCTACCTGGGGGTCCGCGCATGCGCCTCCGATGGGATCCGAGCCGGTAGTTTGTTTTTCTTCTTATTTATTTATTTATTTATTTATTTATTTTTGTTTTATTGTTTCCTTCTTTTTTTTATAAATAAATAAACATAGAACAAATTCTGTATTTATTTTCTTTTCTGCCCTTTCCCTTCATTCATCCCACAGAGGTTCTATTTGGAGGCTGGGTACCGGTTGGGCGTTTGTTTTGCTTCTTTTTTTGAGGCGTGGCCTGGCATCCCTGTGGATGGTTGCGAAATCCGTTTCGCATCACGACATGAAACCATGGTTGAAACCATGCTCTGCTGGCATTTTACGGGGGGGGAATCGTCCGAAACCAGGGTTTCTTAGATGGTGCGAAGTGGATTTCGCCACCACCCACGGTATGTCATCCGACGGTTCTACTTGGAGGCTGGGTACCTTTAGGTGCGCCTGGGATCCATTGTGATGGGATCCGTTTTTGAGGCTGGGTAGCTGTTTTAAGCTTAAAGGGATACCAAAAGGAAAGCCCACCAATTTGGAGGGCCTCTTGGGAGTTTTGGTGGACCCTGTTTTGGTTGGTACTTGAAGGGAAGAATGTGGCTCGCTCGCGACGTGAATGAGTCAGTCACCTGACAATTAAAGACCTGGTTGGCTGACCAACCTCCTGATCTCCTTTGCGGTTGGATGGTCCCCGGGGCAAACACCTCCTGCCTGAGTTTTGGGAGGGCAACCACAAAAACGCCACTTAAAACCCAAGCAAAACATGCAGAGGTGGGTAAAAAGGTGACTGAAGTCTGGCAGTGAACCATGCACCTGCTGCACCTATACTCTTCTGGGAACCATACATCGTCATCGGCCTTGTTGGGGCTCCTATTAACAGATTCACCGGATTGTCAAAGTCTGTGCCTGAAGAATGGCTCCCTTGCCTTGAGGATGCGGTTTTTTGACAGCTTCCATGTGGCGCCAGAGAATTGAACTCGGGGAGAATCATTTGCTCTCCCTCCCAGAAATCCGAGGCACCTTTGCTGGGGAGTGGCCCCACTTCTTCGTGAGCACCCGATACCTCAACGTGCTGCACAAGCAGCGGGGGCCCATCGACATCCCCCAGGACATCGCACGGAAGGCCAAGGACTCCGGGGTAAAACCAGTGACGTGGCTTGGACATATGACAGTGGGTCAACACCAATGGTACCATTTTGGGGTAGGTGCACCACCCATTTTAGAACCTATTGTAGTGGGGATTGGGATGTTCACTGGGGGTACGATTTGGGTTTTGACCCATGGCCATATTGACGGAAAGCGAGCTTTGGGTCGATAGACGTTGGGCTCAAAGCAGCAGTTTTGTGGCTTTTTGTATTCTGGCACTTTCGTAGTCGCGAGCGCCTGTTGCGGATGATGCAGACGATGCAGGTACCCCTGGGCGACGCTGGCAATTTTGGCTGGTGATACCCAGCGCGCTCGTTCTGTTGGTATTGCTTATTGTTCGAAGGCTGGGAACTGTGGGAGTGATAATTTGATTTGCTTGTGCATGCAAGCCTGTATTTGTTTGCACTTGCAGGGGTTTGGGCTAAAGCGTTAACCGTAGGTGGTCGCTTGTCTTGACTCTTAATAAGTATCCACTTGGGCCACCATTTTGGCTCAAGTGGACCTTTTGATCTTTGGTCTTGTGATTTGAAATCTTTCTTTCCCCTCTCTCAAAGCCATGTACGCCCCCGCCTACGCCGGTGCCGCGGTAGCAGAGGCTAAGGCTAAGGCAAAGGCCTCCATGGCAAAGTACCTGGCGAGCCTCGTGAAGAGGGAGGAAGAAGGATGGACCGTTTTGGCTGCTGAGGTCCCACAGGCACCTGACGAGCGTTTCTTCTCCAGCGCAGATGAGCTGGAGCAGGCCCCCCTTATCCCGGCCAAGCGCAAGGCAGAGGATGAGCCGATGGAAGATGCAGCCCCTGGGGTGGCGCAGGTGCCGAAGGCCCTGACACGCCCCCCAGGGGCGTTCCTGAACCCGCCGGAGGAGGACGTGCCCATGGAGGAGCTCCTGGCGAAGGACGAGAAGGAGCTGCCGATGCCCAGGTCCCCCTCGGCTGCAGCCCGCTTGGAGGAGGCCCGCCTGGATGCCCGGGCAGACGCCAAGTGGCAGAGGCGCCGGGAGCTGATGGCGAAGGTCAAGGAGCAGGCGTCCTCGGAGGAGGATGAGAACCCCGCAGCCCCCCCGCCGGGGGGGAGCGTGTTCACCAAGGCCCTCAAGGTCTCGGAGGGCCTCTACCAGTTCAGCGACGACCAGATGGCGGGCGACTTCCCTTGCTTCGATGCGACCACGGCCACTAGGCTCCGCCGACTGCAGGCCAAGGACGTCCAGCGGCTCCTGCGTGGCTTTGAGGGCCCCCAACTCAAGCAGGGGGGCCTGGAGCGCGTTGTGGAGGCCTTCTACATCGCCAAGATGAAGTACGAGCATGAGGCCCGGCTCAGCACCCGGGACAGCAGGTTGGCAAGCGCGCTGGCTTGGGGTACGGGGGCCTGGAGAACCGCCCCCTGGGCAAGGTGCCATACCTTGAGGCCAAGGCGGTCATCTCGCTGGGTAGGAATCCCTTCCCGGCGGCCCTCCTGGCAGATCTGCCGGACCTGGCAGGGATCCCCATGCCAAAGGCGGGGGGCTCTGGTGCGGCGCGCCCAGGTGCCGAGGGCCCTGACAGGCCGCCCACCATCCCCCCAGCCTCGGGCTCTGGCGCGACGAGCTCAGGTGCCGAGGGCCCTGACAAGCCGTCCGCCACCCCGGTGGGCCTGGACACCAAGGACCCGGAGGTGCAGCTCTCGGTCCTGCGCTGGAGTCCGTATCTTTGCGGGCCGCTGGGTCCGACGACCGGGCCCGGTACACGTCCCGGATTGGGCGAAAAACCTCACCAAGGTGAATCCGGAGGCGTTGGAGAAGGGTACGCATCCCAGGAACCACCAGGTGGGTGGACTCCCCTGGGCCAGGTACTCCGTGGATGAGTTGAACCAGCAGGTGAAGGCGGGGGACCGACCCTACCCTGGGGACCTGCGATCCATCTTTTGGGCTGCCGAGGATTTCCACTGGATTCGCCAGATCTCGTCCTGGACACTCCCAGGCCTACTGGGGATGTTCGGGCACAGCTACACCCTGCGCCAGCTCTGGGGAGTCTGGGAGTCTCTGCCACTGCTGCAGGGCCCTAGGCAGCGGGGCCCGAAAAACAAGGCCCAGAATCAGACCCGCCTGGAGGGCTGGGGGACCCTGAAGGAGGACGCGCGGTGCTTCCTGAAGGAGGAGGGCCTTCCGTTTCCGCAGACAGGACCGGAGTGGCGATTGGTCTACCGGGCCCTGGGCAAGGTCCTCGCGGCCCGGGCCTTCCTCACGGACACCCCGGCGGAGGTGATGCAGCTCCCGGTCCAGGACGTGGCGGACTCCAAGGAGCAGATGATCCTGCGGGCGGTGTGCGACGAGCGCATCTCGGTCCCGGTGGAGAGCCTCCAGCAGTTCCCAGAGGTGTACAAGGCTCTCATGGACCGCATTGGAGGCCCGGGGGCCCTGGCGGAGGTGAAGGTCAACTGGCGCTGCAACACGAAGCAGTGGTGGGTCGGCGCAGTCCCCGACTCAGTGGCCCCCTCCATCTACCGCAAGCTCGGCTACACCAACGACATGATCAAGCTGATGGGCCTGGACCCCTCCGCCCCTGGGTGCCGGACAGGTGCCGATGGCCCTGACATCCCCTGGGGCGGAACGTCCACGGCGTGGTGGGTAAGGACTACCGGAAGAAGAACTATCCGGTGGAGATGAAGCATGTCTTCTGGGCGCACATGGAGTGTGGCCTGGTCCTGAGCTCCGTCACCCCGTGGGAACTCATCCCGAAGACAAAAGGGGAGACCGGGGGGGCTACATGTGCAAGTATTGTAAGGCGTGCCGGGGGAGGGGGCACCCGCCTCCTCCAGATCCGGGCCGGCAAGGCCATCTTGCAGCTGGTGTTGGACGAGCCGCCGGAGGGCCTCTACAACCGCTGGGTGAAGGAGCGGCTGGAGTACTACCGCCGGGTGGAGCCCTCGGCCCCGTTGCGGGACGTCTCCATCGTGGACCAGAAGGTGCCCAGGTTCAGATTCAGCCAGACCACCCAGACAGGCCACGTCTCCAATGCCATCTGGGAGCTATTCTGCGGAATCCGGAGGCGGCTCGATGACATCGCGAAGGGGGCCGCGTGATGATGCGGGACAACGCCATCTTCCGGCACATCATCCAGGACCGCGACCAGCCGGAACGGATGCGCAGCGCACCCCGCAATTGGGACAGCTGCCGAAGGCGCTGATATCCCCCCCCAGGGAACAGAGCAGGCCCAGACTTGCACCAGGCGAGAGAAATTGGCGCGGCTTGGGCTGATCCGGGGTGCGTCTTGGTTCCCCTCTCTTGCCTGGTTTTCCCTTTTCGGGGCGGCTCCCTGGGTCCCCCCCCTTTTTTCCCCCGTTCCCTCCGTTTCGGGGTTGGCTTTCCGGGGTTTTGGGGGGCCCCCCCCCCCCCTGTTGTTTGGTTGGGGTTGGCACCTAGGGACTAAGCCCCCGGCTCGAGTGGATCATGATGATGTGGAGGCCCCGCCTCCCTTCCCCGTTTGGGACGACCTTCCTAGGGGCGCCAAACGCGCTCCAGTTGATTTTGCATGACCTTGGATTTGCACCAGTGCAGTCGGACGGGGAAATCCTCGTGGCGTGCTGCCTGGAATGGGTCAAAAAGGACAAGGTCGCCAACCCGGATGCGGTGGTCTTTGACCCGCGGCCGTGGACACGGATCGTGGGGCTGGCACCTGACGGCACCCACGTCCTGGTGGCCTCGGACACCTACAACTTGATCCTCGCGAGGATACTCGGCTCCCAACCACAACCGCTGGAGGAGGCGGATTTGGAGCTCGCTACTAAGACCCTGCAACAACTTCTGTTTCGTGCGGCAGGCGCCAGGCAATCGCACACCTATTCTCCACTGGAAATGGAACAGGCCATCCGGGACCGCGAAGAGTGGATCCTTTCCGATCGATTGAGGCCCCGATGTCCTGGCAGTGGCCAACAAGTGGCGGCATTGGAAACCAGGGAAGATCAAAACCCAATTGCCGACATCTCAGAGAGCGTTGGAACAACACTTGAGGGCCAGGTGGTTGGAACGCCTCCTGGGATACTTCATCCCCTTCCGGCACCAGATCCCCTACATGCACCAGGTGATGGGGGCCAGGGAGCTGGAGGAGTTTAGCCACCTCTTTGGTGATGCCCGGTTCCGTACCATCCGGGCACACTGCTTGGCCTATGAGGGCATGCGCAAGATCGGCTTCCAGAACCCCCTGGACGGCCGGCGACGTCCGGCACCTCATGAACCAGGCGGTCACGTTGGAGGTCACCCCGGCGAAGCTCCAGAAGTGGTGGGGCACTTTAAAGTGGCTCTCCATTAAACTCGGCATGCTCAACGTTGACGAACACAAACAACTCCTGGAGAAGCGGAAAGGTGGACACCCAGGTCAAGCCACAGCGCAAGGCGGTGGTTCCGACCCGGGCAATTGTTTGGGCCCTGGAACAAGGGGCAGAAGGGGCCCCGCCGGAGAACCGGGTCCCGGAGCTGACCAAAGCAGTGGACAGGTACATCATGGCGTTGGCCAGGTTCAACCTGGCCTGCAGTGCGCGCTTCAACGACGTGCAGCACACCTCGCCGCAGACGGTCAAGTCCACGAGCAACACCCTGGAGCTGCTGGCCTGGCAACCGAAGACCACGTCGGCAGTGGCCATCAAACGGAACCCGGTCCCGCTCATCGCCCCATTGTTCTCCTTCTCGGGGGCCAGATGGTGGATCCCCTTGGAGCGGTGGTGGAAGAGATTCAGGGCCTCGGAGGAGTTCCGCGAGATGGACTACCTGATTCCCACGATCAACAAGGACAGGACGGGCTTCATCCCCCGCCCAGGAACCCCAGACAGGTCCCTGAGGTGGCTCAAAGACGCCTTGGGGAAGCAGGGCGCGCCAGTCAAGGACGTGGCTGAACTCTCATGGTACTCCTTCCGGGTCTTCATGCCGGATTTGGCATTCCAGGCGCACACACCGAGGGACCAGCGCCAGTACCTGGGAAACTGGTTCAAGGAGTCCACGGCGGATGTCTACACCC